AAAAAAAAAAAAAAAAAAGGGAAAGGAAGTATGTAAATCTGGCCATTGACCCCCTTCACGCCCCAGCCCTGTCTGACTGCTTATAACATTGCTAGCTCACTTAGCTATCTGTAATAACTGGGCCTGTAGGTCTTGAAACTGGAAGGGACCACACAGTTCACCATGCAGGGCCCTGCTTCCCCTCCGGGGTGTCCCATGGGGGTCATCACATGTCAGCACTCGAATGGCATTGATCTGAGTGGTCACCTGCAGTGGGCCTGGGAATGACCCTAAAGTCCCTCCTCCCGTTGGTCCTCCTGCGGCAAACAGGGTTGAAGTCTTAACCCAGGACCTTCCCGCTGAGCTGCATCCCAATGCTGGTTTTGTTGTTGGCTTTGTTTTTTGAGGGGGAGGAGGATAGGCTCTCATTAAATTGCTCAGGCCTGGCTTTTGAATTGGTGACCATCCTGCCTCAGCCCCCCACAGTGCCAGGATTACAGGTGTGTGTGCCACCATGCATGGCTGAGGGGTCACTGTTGGTCCTTGTTTTCTCTTCGGCCCCCTCTTCGCTGCAGGTTAAGCTTCCTCATTCCCATCCACCCTGCCCTTGCTCTTCTGGATCCTGATTGTGCTACTAGGAAGCGAGAGCCCGGGCCTTGAGAGACTGTGTTCAGGGCCAGGCTTTGCTTCTTGTCGGCTGTGTGACCATGAATAGGTGTCCTGACCTCTCTGGAGATCAGCGAATTAAAGGATCGGGTGCCCTGGCAGGCAGCACACTGTGCTGCCTAAAAACTTGGCCGAGAGCCTGGTGCTGTGGTTGGCATCAGCACTGTGTTCCTGAGCTTTATGATTTGACTCCAGAAACTTCCCCCACAGTTTTCTGTGTCCTCTGTGAGTTGCTGGTCCCTCCTCAGGGCTGCCAGGAAGGGGAGGGCCAGCTTGGCTCAGTTCCCTCTGGAGCTTTCCTGTACATTAAGTCTGTCTGGGTTAGAGGGCGACTATCCTCCCATTACAAAGATGGGAAAACTGAGGCAGGTGGAGGGTAGATGGCTATGGATTTTTGTTGTTGTTGTTCTGTTTTGTTTCCAGAGCTGAAGAGAAATGACCAGAGGGCTCGGATTTAGGAAACATCAGCAATATCTCCAAATTAAATGGATGAATACAAATTGGCCTGGACTTGCAGAGCCAGGAGACAGCTGTTGATGCAGACCTAGTGTGTGCATGGCCTGGGTACAAGAGCCAGAGCTGGAAGCGGTCTTAAGAAGTCACAGACTTGGGGAGGGTGGGGATGGCCTTTCCAGAGAACAACAAGATGGTGCCGCCTTCCTGGGATCTTCTCACAGTCCACAGTGAACTGTCAGAATCACCAGTGTAGACCCAGGGGCTGTCTCTCTTAAGAAAAAGATGACAAGGGGCCTGCCCCTTAGCTCAGCTCTTTAAGTGGCTGCTTCAACAAAGCAGTCAGGCTCAGGTTGCTGTGGTTCGATCCCCACAACCCAAGCCAGCCAAACCTGCCCTGAAGGCATTCGGAGCAAAAAAAAGATAAAGATGAGATTACCCCATCCTACCCCAGCTTCCTGCCTCATCCTCCTCCCCTCTCCTCTGCCCTTCTGCTCCAGCCATGTGGCCTGCTCTACAGTTTCTAGGACATTCCATGCTCCCATCTGTCACAGAGCCTTTCAGGTACTCTCGGTCCCAGTTGGCATCCCACTCACTGCCTTCATCTTGGCCTATTACTTTTTGAAGAAGTCCCCCTAAAGCCCCCCTAAGCCCCAATACAGTGAAGTTCCTTTTCTGGGAGGACTGGGGTCTCAGTGGGTCCCATTGCATATTGCTGGGGGTGTCCATCCTGCACCCTTGGGGTGGCAGCTCCAGTTCAATGTCCTTGGAGCCCAGGGGCCCAGGAAGCCAGGGACAGCAGTAAAGGCTGAGAAAACTCAGCACCATTCTGTCTCTTCTCTTACACCCCAGGTAAAAGAAACCCATGGAAGGCCAAGCCTCCCCTTGCCTCAGCTTCCTAGCCTTACAGTGGGGAGAGGCCTGTGGTCGAACAACCCAGGCTAGGTTTGACTGCTGGCTTTGCCTCTGACCAGTTGCAGGAGTTTGAGTCTCAGGTTTTTTTTTTTTTTTTAATATTTATTTTTTTATTTATTGTGTGTGTGTGGCCAGCTCAGCCCACCAGGGGGCGGGGCTGGCTGGCATGTGGTGCTGGGGGATTGAACCACGGTCCCTGTGCTTTGTTTAGCTTAGCTTGTTCTAAGTAGGTGCTTTAGACCACTGAGCCATCTCACCAGCCCTGAGTCTCAGTTTTGCACAATGGGGATAACAGTACCTGAGAGAACTGTCAGGGTGAAGTGTGTTTGGACACGGAAAGCACTTGGAGTGGAGCCCAGTGCTCAATAATAAATGATGGCAGGGCCTGGGAGATGGCTCAGTAGAATAAGCACTTACCTGGCAAGCATGGGGTCCTGAGTTCAATCCCCGGTTCCGCCAAAAAAAAAAAAAAAGATAATAAATGATGGCAGAGGGTATTGGGGTGCCAGGCACACAGACATACCCTGTTCAGAGCCCCAGGACCTCTGCAAAGCTGGACATGTGGTGAGGCTTTCTGGAATTTCTTTCCAGTCTTCTGTACCTGGAAGAGGCATTTTTTAAATTTATTTATTTATTTTGTGTGTGTGTGTGTGTGTGTGTGTGTGTGTGTGTGTGTGTGGCCAGCTCAGCCCACCAGGGGGCGGGGCTGGCTGGCATGTGGTGCTGGGGGATTGAACCACGGTCCCAGTGCTTTGCCAAGCTTGTTCCAAGTAGGTGTTTTAGATCACTGAGCCATCTCACCAGCCCTGGAAGAGGCTTTTTTGGTGGACTCTGGAGTTGTTTGTGGCTAGCTTTGGGTCTTTGCTTTTTTAATAATGGAAATTTGAAGCACAAATCCACAGGGCAGAAAAAGTTAATTGGAAAGTTACAGGGAAGATAAGAAAAGGGGCACATTTTGATAAAGGGGTCAGACTTCCCACCCACAGAGGTGGGAAGACAACTTTTAGGATCAGCAGGCAGGTGGGGGCCTCCTAATCTCTGTCTTAGTCCTGGCTGTGGCATCCTGTGGCTGAGAGGTGGCCTCATTTCCAGGAAAAATTTGGCTCTGTCTGTGGAGGGCATAGGTGGGGCCCCGCCCTTCCAGGCTATGGTGGATGTCCCTGTCTATCAGGGAGTCCTCAATCTTGAAGGGAGTGAGATTATTGAAGTCACGGCTAATCAGTTGAAATTGCCCCTCTCTCACCACAGTAACATTTACAGACCTGTCCCTTTGTGTCACAGGTGATTCTCCTGGTTCACTGGCTGCTGACGACCTGGTGAGTGACCACTGCACGCACCTGCGCATGCATGCGCACACGCATGCACACCACCCCCTGGCTCTGTGCAGGTGCATGCGGGATGATGCGTCCCCCTTGCTTGGTCTGTGTCAGCCTGGCTGCCCTGCTGTGTCCTAGCCAGGCCACCCTGGGTCAGGCACTTTGCCTGTTGGGGCCACTGTCTGCCTAGGAGTGGGATTGGAACCATGAGTCCCAGGATCCAGAGGGAGAGGCTTGGATGCTTGTTGGTCCCCCAGGGCTGCCGGAGTGCAGCTTGGCTCCCACTGTCACCTTCGGTTTGTGGCCCTTCTGGGAAAGTTCTCTGCCAGACTAGGACTGGAATGAGTGCTCTTTGCAAACTTGGAAGTACAGTAGGTGCATGCACAGCTGGGAGGAAAGAGAGCAACAGACTCTGGATCAAAATGCAGATTTCTCTTGGGGCTGGGAAGATGGCTCAGTAAGGGCCTGAGTTCAATCCCCATTTCCACCAAAAAAAAAAAAAAAAAATGCAGATTTCTCAGCCCCAGTCCCCAAGGGGCATCTGGGCAGGGCCCAGGTACCTGTGGTCTTAAGATCAAAAGATGAGCAGCGGATTTAGTCCAAGATGAGGAGACCAGTAGTGCTCCACAGCTACCTGCACCTGCGGTCTTCTTCAGAGTCATACCTCGTGAATGTCATCCATTCACACCTGTGAAGCTAAGCACACTGAGCAGGAAATAGAGTGGCTGAGGGCCTGTTTTCCAGGCATGGCCCAGGGCCAGGGTTAGAGTACTTGCCTGGCATTCTTTTTTTTTCTTTTTTTTTGGTGGAACCGGGGATTGAACTCAGGCCCTGCGCTTGCCAGGGAAGCGCTTATTCCACTGAGCCATCTCCCTGGCCCCACTGAGCCATGTCCCCGGCCCCTTGCCTGGCATTCTTGAGGCCCTGGATTCTGATTCTGTCCAGTACTGCAAAAAAGAAAAAAAAACAAAAAACAAAAAACTGCCTGGCCTCTGGAGCCAGATTGTATGAACGCCAGCCCTGCCACTTAGCTGTGTGACTGTGGGCAGGTTACTAACCATGGTGTGCCTCGGTGCCTCCTTCCTGCAGTCATTGTTTGTTTGTTTGTTTGTTGTTGTTGTTAGAACCAGGGATTCAACTCAGGCCCTTGTGCTTGCCAGGCACATGCTTATTCTACTGAACCATCTCCCCAGCCCCCCTGGAGTCATTGTTAACATAAAAGGAGGAGGGAAGTTAAAGCACGTAGAGCCCTGCAAGTGTTCAACTTCCATTTCCTTTGGGTTAACCAGCAAACCAGTAGGTAGGCAGTGAGAGTTAGGAGTAATGCCCTAGCGGTAAAGCAGGGTGGGCCTGTGTCAGGGAAGTGATACTTAACCTAGATCTCTGAGAGGAGGGGTCTGAGTTAACATTTGAGCTGAGGCTAAAGGGACCAAAAGGCCAAGCGTTCGGGCAGAGTGCACGTGGTCGGCGGCTTGGAGGTAAGCAGGAGGGCTTGTCAGGTGGATCCTCAAGACAGCTGAGTTTATTCCAGAGGGCTGGTGGCAGGAGAGGCCTCATCTGGTTTACATGCCATCTGCTGTTCTTTTTTTGTATTTTAGGGAAGGGTCTACAGGGTGTTCAGGGTCTCACTACTAGATCGGACTAGTAGTGATAGGCCTGTTTACAAGCCTTCCAAGAGCTGGGATTACAGGCGTGCACCACCACGCCCAGTCTCAATTGCAGTCTCATTGCGCCCCAGGGGTGGGGCCAGTATAGCAGGCCCAGGGATCGCAACCCTCAGCCCTAGGGGTGCTTTAATCCGCTGAGCTATTTTTGGCCAGCCCTTGCCATCTGCTGTTCTGGGAGCAGCCTGTAGGGGGCAGGAGTAGCAGCAAGGAGAGCTATGTGGGGTGGCTGTGGCTGCTGCTGTGGCAGAGAATGGGGAGGTGGAGCCAGGGTGATTGGCCATAGCCCTGTGGCCTTGGGGACTGTGATCTGTTCTCAGAGGAGACCAGAGACCTGCTGCCTCCAGAGGGAGGTGACCTGCGAGATGGTGGCCGCCTCACAGAGGGTGCTGCTTCCTTCTGCAGGGGCAGCATCGTGTTTGGGGGTGCCTATTCCTGGGCCAATTTCACCATCCTGGCCTTGGGCGTGTGGGCTGTGGCACAGCGGGACTCCATTGACGCCATAAGCATGGTGAGTGGGGAGTGGGCGCTGCAGTAGGCAGCAGCAGGGGCGGGCACAGGCCAGCTGTGGTCCCAGCTCTACCACAGTCTTCTCTCCTCTCTGTGTCCCCGTTTCTTGCCTTCCGGAGTCTTGTACAGCGTCCCATGTGTGTCTGGTAGCTTCGTCCCTGATCCATTGCCTTCCCAAGCCCAGCAGGCATGAAGCAGGGACCCAGCCAGCAGGGTCCAGACTAACCGCTCCCCATGGTGGTCTCACCTGCCTCAGGGCCTCTTAGGGAGAGGGGTGTGACAGGAGACTTAGCCAGGAGGGAACCCTGCCACTTCAGGAAGTCAGAGCTGGCACGACCTATTGGCACTGCCCGGTGCCCAGCACGAGCACTTCCTGCCAGGAAGTTGCTGCCTGTGGGCAAGATGGAGAAGGGTTTTTTTTTTTTCCCCTTGTATAGGAGACAGATCAGATGAACCTCAAGGGATGTTAGCACTGCAGGTTCTGGAAGCGAGTCCTAGGCCCCAGGTTGATGCAGGCAGGTGGGGCGGGCGCAGGGGAACACAGCAGAGCGGACCCTGGCAAAAGCCCTGCAGACGTGTTAGGGCACAAGACAAGCTTTCCAGCTGGCATCTTGGGGAGTACCTGGGACAACAGGGTGTCGGTGCCCCTAACTCATGGCACGGTGTCTTGCAGTTTCTGGGGGGCTTGCTGGCCACCATCTTGCTGGACATCATCCACATCAGCATCTTCTATCCCCGGGATACCATCACAGCCACGGTTCACTTCAGCGCTGGCATGGCCATCCTGAGCCTGCTGCTCAAGCCTTTCTCCTGCTTCCTGGTGCACCACATGTATCGTGAGCGCGGGGGCGAGCTCCGCTTCCACTCCGGTGAGGCCCCAGCCCCCACTCCCCACCTGCTGTCCCTTCCCACGGCTGGGCGCTCCAGGCACAGGCGGGAGTGTGATGAGGGTACTGCACCTCAGGCCACAGTGATTGTCTGTGTGGTCAGCTCCTGTGGGCTCCAGGGAAGCTCCTCCCCTCTGGCCCCACGTGGGCCGGCCCTAGAGCCCCTCCCTTCTTCTCTTGCCCACTCTGGGCATTCAAGGAGATGGGTGTGGACACCTGCCTGTCACTTCCAGGGAGACAGGCCTACAGTGGGCTGTGACAGCCTAGGGGAGCACGGGGAAGGGCAGGAGCAGCCACCACCGACACCCTGGCTGACCTCAGCACTGCCTGGACCTGTCCTAAGCTAATGAGACAGGAACAGTCTGTGCACATCAGTCTCCTGAGGAAACTGAGGCCCGCAGGCCTTGGTCTTGTTTGGGGCACCACACAGATGCGGAATGAACAATAGGAGTGAGACCCGGAGGCCTGCCCATCAGGTGCTTAAGTGCCTGCTGAAACAAAGCAGTCAGGCTCAGGATGCTGAGGTTCGATCCCCTCATCCTCAAGCCAAACCAAACCTGCCCTGAAGGCCCCCCCCCAAAAAAAAAGGAGTGAGACCCAAGAGAGGGTCAGAGGTTGGGGGTGCCAGCGTGAGTCCCAGGGTCATCTCCAGTGGGTCAGGCCACATCGTCAGCCCTTGCTTTCCTCACCTGTAAAGTGAGGACAGTTGAAGCAGCTGTTTCAGGAGGACACGGGACAGCTACAGCTGCTGACAGCAAGGTGTGGGGCTGCTGTACCCATCCCTGGAATCGTGGTGCCACAGGTGGGCAGGGGCTGGGCTCCATGGGATGTGCCCAGTCCAAACCCCTCATTTTCTGTTTCTTCCCATGCCCCCCCCCCCGCCCCCCAGACTTCCTCGGGCCTTCTCAGGAGCGCAGCGCCTACCAGACGATTGACTCCACCACGGAGGGGCCTGCGGAACCCTTCGCGGGCCTCGAGGCCAGGGGTCCGGACACCCGAGGGTACTGAAGCCGGCCCCCACCACCTGTCCTTGCTCACCACATCACAGTCCTGATGCTTGGGGGGTCCTGGGGACACCCCTGACCTTTATTGGGCCTAAGATGCAATTACCTTCCTGTCCCCATTTCAGGGGTGGGGGTTGTTAAATCCCGTGCCCATGGGACCATGGCTTCCCAGTCCCATGAACTCATCTGTCCTCACTCTGAGGCCTGCTGTCCCCCAAAGAGCACCCCACAGGTTCCCATGCTGGGTCTGTGGTCTCTCTTTGTACCTCCCATCCCACAGTTGCACCATGCAGGCCTCAGGCCTGGCTGTGCATAGCCAAGGGTGACCTCCTGGACCTGCCTCTGGCTTGTGGGGCCTTTGGGTCCCAAGCTCTGAGAGCTTCAGAGCACACTCAGCTCCAGAAGCAGCTGGCATGGGAGTGAGGTCTCATGCATCTCACTGCCTGGCCACGTGGTTCCTGGGGGCCCAGGCCTGGACTCCACAGGACCTGCCACAGCCTATAGCTGCCCTCCTTGGAGCCATGATGTTAGAGTTGAGGGATTCTGGGACAGCACTGAGCCATGTTTCATTTCCCAGCTGGCTGGGTGGCTGGCTTGTCATTCCTGGGACCGACCTTTTCTCTCCTGAGTCCCCAGGGGAAGCCCCAAGTGAACTGGAACTGCCCAAGTTAGCCTGATACGGCCAGAGCAAGCAGGAGTGCCCGCTGGGCCCGCCTCTCAGTGCCACAGCAGAGGAGGGCATGGTCAGTGCAGCACATGTGCCTCCTTTCTCTGACTTGGTTTGTTAGGCAGAAGCTGTGGTTAGCAGGCTGGAGGAGGCGGCTGGGGCCTGACTGCTAAGCCAAGACCAGATGTTTCCGTTCCTTCACTTTCTTGATCAGTGGCCATAGATAAAATCCATACATCCTCGTGGTTTCCAGCTTTAGCTCAAAAGGACAGAACCTCCTCTGGGCATGCCGCTAAGGTCCAGGTCCCAGAGAAAGTCCAGACTGTGGGTGAGCAGAAGGGTTAGAAAAATCTCAGGGCCTCAAACTCAATGGAGCCATCTGCCTAGAGTACACAGGGACCTCCTCTGAATTAGGTAAATGCAGCCCATTTTATTTGTCCAAGAACTGTGACCTCAGAAACAGGGAAGTGGGGCTGGGGAGATGGCTCAGTGGAATAAGTGCTTCCCTGGCACACACAAGGGTCTGAGTTCAATCCTTGGTTCTGCCAAAAAAAAAAAAGAGGAAAGCACATTCCTTAAAAGGTCCAGTTACACGGACGCAACCCGAGACCTCCATCTGCAGCTGCCAGCTCGGTGCTTCTCGCTTCTTCTGAAGATCTGTCATTTTTTGCAATAAACACTGCCTATTCTGGGATGAGCTGTGTGTCTTTTTTTTTTTTTTTTTTTTTTTGTGGAACTGGAGATTGAACTCAGGCCCTTGCACTTGCCAGAGAAGTGCTTATTCTACTGAGCCATCTCCCCGGCCCCTGGGCTGCATTTTTTTAAAAAAATTATTTATTTAGCGTGTGTGTGTGGCCAGCTCAGCCCACCAGGGGGTGAGGCTGGCTGGCATGTGTTGTTGGGGGATTGAACCACGGTCCCTGGTGTGGGGAGGGGGGCAGCTCAGCCCACCAGGGGGCAGGGTTGAGCTGGCATGTGGTGCTGGGGGATTGAACCGTGGTCCCTGTGCTTTGCTGAGCTTGTTCTAAGTAGGTACTTTAGACCACTGAGCCATCTCACCAGCCCTAGTTTAGCTTGTTCTAAGTAGGTGCTTTAGACCACTGAGCCATCTCACCAGCCCTAGGCTGCATGTCTTATCTGCCCTCTTTCATCAAACAGAGAGAATCTGGGAATGTCGCCAGATCCTTGCTGTGTTAGGACTTTGTTGGGTTAGGACCCAGGAACAAGGTGACCCGAGTTTGGATTCAAGTTCTCTTGTGCCACTTAGGAGCCAAGTTCCTTCCATGTATCCCAGAAAAGTCTCTTGCCAACTCAGGGATTCAGGTTGGCCTAGCCCCAGAAGGGACCCCACACAGCACCAGCATTGCTGTCTCACGGTGGCACTTTCTAGGAGGCCAGGCTCCCCTCTCTGCGGTCCGTGTTGGGCCTGCAGAGCCGACTCCCATCCACAACCACTTTGAGTCCCAGGGCAGGATCTGCACACAGTGGCTGAATCGGCCATTCACAACTTGCTGCTCCTCTGCCAACCACAGTGTCTGGGCTTCTGTGGGGTGCCACCCCACATTTTTTGTGGCCATCTGTCAAAGGAGGCTGAGTAGCTTCAGGTAGTGCCTGGGGCCACAGTGGGATCCCAAGTGCCTGCTCCCCAGCTGAATGATCCTGGAATCGCCTTTTCAGGTGGATACAGATGACAGAAGAGCCCCTGGTATAGAGGCCATGAGGCTGCATTTGGGAACAGCTGGACACTGCCTTGATGCCAGGAGCCTCCATCCTGTGTGGGGGATACCATCGAGCAGAGCTGTCCCGTTTGTGGCAGCGTTACCCCCTCGATGTGACAAGTGGCCCGCAGTGGCCCTTGCAGTGGACTGTTGGTGTGCCTCCTGTAACCACTGGCAATGCAAGCTTTGCTGTCAAGCAGATGCAGAAGGCCACAGGTCAAGTCACGATTGCAGCAGCCTTTGGCGAGGAGGCTCATGGCCCTGGGGGAGCAGGATCCACACTCAAGTCCCTTTCTCCTGACAGATTCTGGGCACCAGGAGCCCTACAGTGTCCCTGTGTCAGTGGAAGG